CTGGCCGCCCAGCTGCGAGCCCACACTGGCCAGCTGCGGCTTCTTGGTCAGAGCCCCTACGGGAGGACTTTGGGCCACCAAAGAATGGCCTGGCTGGGCTAAGCGTTGTGCTGAGGCAGCAGAGCAAGGCCTCAGCCAGAAGGCTTAGGGATGAGGTGGGAAAGCGCATTAACCAGTAATTGGCCAATAATTGCGTTTGAGAAAGGAGGGAGGGTTGTTGGCTAGGCTAGAGCACTTTCCTAAGAAAGAGTAGGACAACGGGAGGTAAGTGAGGCGAGCGTGGAAAGAAGCTGAGGTACAGACAAGCCTCAGCGACCTGAACAAATCCCCGTGGGATGCTCCATATTAAAAACAGTCTCAACTGAAACAGAAAATTGTCACTGCACTGGCTGCTTCCACAATAACTCTAATCATATGCCTTTTCCCTACCTCTTACCAATACTATATAGCAGGGAGAGCTAAGCATCATTTTGATCCTAGCTTCCCAGTTAGGTTCATGCCTACACATATCCTGCTCTCAGAGGATCCTTAGGAAAGGTGGGGTGAGGGAAGAGTTGTGTGGCGACATCCATCCCTTTGCTGTCAGCCCAGAGAACTCTCAGGACTCTTCTCTCTTGATAGCTGCAGCAGTAAAATCATTCAAAACACTTACAGAAAATGGGCTGTCACTTTGAACTGATACAAGTTAAAAAAAAAAAAAGTCAACAGTAAGAGTTATCTGAGCTGTAGGCATACACTACTACTTAGGAGATACACACTATATACATGTGCGTATGTTACACACAGCATGATTCTGACAGTGAAGATGCATGAATCATGTCAGCAATAACTTCTGCATTGAGAAAAACTATTGCAGACAATGTCAGCAAAAGTGCTTTATGTGATATGTTTTCTCTGCAGAGTAGTGGTGATTTTTAAAATACTGACATTGTGCTCATTGTTAAGAGCAACGCTGCATCTGCAGTAAGAACATCTTCCTTGTATAAGAATAAATCAAACTGATTAAGCACTTTTACTGTGGCTAAAACATTTGTATATATTTTTTTTGAAATCAAAACTAAAAACTATTAAATGTAATTGTTGCGATAACTAAATAGAAAGAAAAATGTGAGGCAAGAACCAGATTCCAGGAGATTGTAGATCCTTCCCAAAACACAGTAAGAAACAACAATAATACTTTTATTCATGAAGTGGTCATTATGCAGTAGCGTTCAGCCAACCTGCATTACACCATGGTGAGAGACTCAAATACTTAAACATTTTAATATTTAATCTGCTGCCATTTTACATCGTTATCCATAGAAGATTAACACCCCTGTCATTACAGAAGATTTGCAAGCTTGTTATTTTGTACTTTGTTAATAAGTTTTCATTGAGTTCCAGAAACTATTTACACTGCATGTCTTCAGAACAGCCTTTCCTTTCTCTTTGGTACTGATTTTTAACCTTGTTAGTGGATGTTCAGCGAGTATCGGCTATTGGAGAAAACAAGCAAACAAACCACAAAGACAACTGCTTTGTTTTTTTGGCTGAAAATACATTTTCTTTTGCGATCATGCTTTCCACACCAATAATTTTTGTCCCTCTGGCATTCTTTTTGTCCTCCTTTGGCATAAGGAGTTTTAAAGGGTAAAATTTAAAAAATACACAATAAAGATAATTGTGATTATGGTTTTATTTGGCTCCTGTGTGAATATATGCTATGCAGCATGTTGCTGTATAGCCCAGGCACCTGCAGAGCTCAGCAGAAAAAGCCTTCTGTGGAGGACCCTACTGATTTCATGCTCCAGTAAAAGGCTGAGAACCAAAGGTGTGGAATACATGATGGAGGGGGAGGCAACGTTTTTTATGCATTATAAGATACTGATGTTTAGTCCTATGTTATTTCTGGTTTTCCAAGCACTAATGTATTTTCTTTTCTTCCTAGAGGAACTTAAAATTAACATAACCAGTTGCTTTATTCTCTTACAGCAAAGCGTTTAAGAGCACTCTAGGGATGCTATACCTCACATGAATACTGAATTCTGACATACTTAAGTTTCACTGAGAAGCTCAGCAAGGAAAACGAATTAATGAGTTTTGGAAACAGCATATCCAGCTGACTTAATGTTTGATCACTGTAAATTTTTACAGCCAGAGATTCCATGAGAAATAGTCACATGCTGCAGTATTAGAGTTTTGTTTCTAATTACTGGTGCCTGGTTTTGGCCAGCCAATTGATTGCAGTGGCCAAATGACAACATAAGGAGATTCTAACTTTATGTTAAAATATTTTACTCTGTTGGCAAGGAGCCCAGCAGGCATTAACAACTACAGGAGCTTGCAGGACTTCTTAGTGCCTTGTGTTTGGCAAGCTCATCACCCACAAACTCAATTATTTACTTTCTTCTATTTCAAGAAAACAAGAGATGTCATAATCAAGAATCTAAAAAGACTGAAATTACAAAATAGAGCTTGTCATGTGTTCACAGATACAGCATTAATAAGTTGCCTTAGAGAGCTCAGACTTGCATAGAAACCATTCATCTTTCATCAGTGACATGATCAGTTTTTTCAGTTTTCTATAGCCCAGCTGTAGTAGAGTACATTTTACAGTGACTTCACTGTGTGCAGCTAAATTTTAGTTTAAGTTATAGGAAATAAAACCTCAATTATTTCCCACAGAGCTATGCCTGATTAAAACAAAAACAAACAAACAAAAAAACCAAACATTGTATAAGCTTTGTAAGAATATACCAGAGGGGCTATTTAAGAAAAGTCATTTTACAATCAGGTTGAATCCTCAGGAAAAAAAAAAAAAAAAAAAAGTCTCTTGAGCACTTCCTCTACATGTTTTAAGTACCGTTCCAACAAGCACAGTAAGTCAAATCTTACCCCTTTCTGCAGTATAGTTTTATGTACAGGATGTAATTGACGTTAAACAAGATGAGATCCATATAATCTCTTCAAGGCTGGCAGCTTCCAAGAGCGCAGCCACACAGCTCAACCAAAACTCCAGCTACTTGCTCCAACAACTCTCATATTCTTAGTAATTGGACAATGCTTTGATCCTCATTCACAAAGGCAGTGTGTTTACAGGGTGAGATTTCAAGACAAACACTACCAACTTTGCTTTCAGGATATCCACAAAAAGCTGATCACGAGAGTTCAGGACAGAAATGAAGATAAAACAGGAAGAATGATAATGAACAGAGGATGGCCTGATAAAAGAGCCTAGTGAATTACTTAGCCTTCTTGCAGATACCCCCACTTCTAGCTTAGCAAGAAAAAAAAAGTTCCTATGATTTTATTAAAGGACATTCAAATGTAATTTTAAAATGATAATAAGTAATGTTGACCATACAGCCTAGTTTGTATGCTAACGTGGACATCAAAGGCCTGTTGCAAAGGAAAGTGTGTCCACCAGGCTTTAGGATCTACCACAAAACACCACAGGCAGGCAAGTCTTCATTGTTTTCTGTGCTTTTAATGTAAAACAGCAACTCATTTTAAAGCTTTAGAATAATTCTCTGCCAGTATGCATTAGATACTTAATTGCATTTGCTTGCTTTTGTACAAGATTGTTAATCTTACACTCTTTTTATTCTCAAACAGATATAGAAGTTT